TCGTCGTCGTTGTTGTCGTCGTCGTCGTCGTCGTCGTCGTCGTCGTCGTTGGTCGTCGTCGTCGTCGTCGTGGTCGTCGTCGTCGTTACCGTCGTCGCTGCGACCGCTGTTACCGCCACCTTCGTCATCTTCGTCTTCGTAAACGGCCAACGGTCGTCGTCCGTTCGTCCTCTCCGTTCCGTCGAATTCATTGTCGTGATTGTCGGTTCAGTGCCTTGCTCGGCCGCGTTCCTTCGCCTTTCGCGACTGGCGTGCTCGCGCCTTTTCGTAGTGATGTACCTGCGTAGAAGACAGTTTCATCAGCCTCGGTGTCTTCGTGCTCGATCGTTCTCGCGGTCACTCTCCTCGCACGACTTAGTCGCCCAGGCGGCTCGGGTATGTCGCGCTGAGATCGCCTCGCGAGATCCGCTAGGACGATCTTGAAGTGCTGCTCCGTCGAGAATCCGGATTCCGCGACCTCTGGGAAATCGGTGGTTTTTTTTTTTTTTACGCATTTCACGACTCGACGGGACAACAATTATGTTCATATTCGCACCGCGCGAAACCATGTCGACCTCTCGACAGGGTTCGGCCTCGCACCCTGGACGGGGTCGTTACGCGCGCTCGTCCACCACGACGAGCGTGACGCAGATGCTGAGCGATTCCTGCACGAGCCTCCTGCAGAAGCTGACCACGAGGGTGCGCGGGACGTCCGCGCTTAACGATCGCGGCGTCGGCGTCGGCACGATCGCGAAACGATCGCCCATCATCGGCCGATTGGGTAACACGCGGACTCGCCTGGAGGACAAGTACAGCACGATTCTGGACAAATACTCCGGCAAGAGGCACGCCGACGATTCGGAAAGAGGCGCCCGCGGTTACTCGCGGAGACAGGAGCGCGATCACAGCTATTATCATCGGGACGACAGTCCGTTTGTGCGCGACGACAAGACCCTGGAACCCTCGATGACTCGTAGCGTCGTCAAGAGTCCGACCAGCGTGCTCCTCACCGAGAAAGCTTATCCCTACGTAAGTTCGGCGATAAGCAGGGAACCCAGGCGCGAGAAGACGCCCGCCTATAGCCGTACGGATCGACAAATCTTACTGAGCTCGGAAGCGTACCGCCGCTACGGTAGGCACAAGTCCGGACACGCGGAAACGCGCAGTCGGAAGGTGAGACCGCACCGAAACGGCAAGAGCGAGCAGCTCGAGGCAAGCTCGACGTCTCTGAGACTGTCGCGGCCGGTCAAGATCGAGCCGTTGACGTTCACGGACAAAGGCAAAGAGATCGCGGTGGATCCAGACAGGACTCCGGTCGCCAACAGTAGTGACGTGGAGAATCTCAACGACATCGCTCGGAATGTTACGTGCGACGCGTTAACGGAGGACGACCCGACGATCTCGGACCGGGTGGCCAAGCGAAGGAGATTCAAAGCCTGATCCTGAAGTACGCCGCCATGGAGGACACCTACAGCCAGTTGGCGGCCGGTGGACAGGCGAACGTGCGTCCCAGCACGACGGACCTTATCGCGAGCAAGTACAGGAAGAGCAATCACCGGAAAGACAACCAGAAGGACGGCGACGCGTCCAAGGGCACGGTAGCCCCGGGTAGCGCGAGCGCGATTAGCGAGGTGGACGCGGTCCACGACGCGATCGTAAGTTGTCGAGACGCGGGTTGCCCGGTTACGCGATCTCGCGAAAAGCGGCGCCGTTTTTAAGCAGAGCGTGTCCGTTGCCACTGTTTTGTCTCTTGTCCTCCTCGCCTGTGTGTGTGTGTGTGTGTGTGTGTGCCCGTGTGTGCTTGTCCTGCGTGTGTATGCGTGTGTTGTTTGCAAACGCGCGTGTGAAATCCCTTTCCGCCCTGGCCCATTCCCTAGGCCGACCGACACGTCTGCTCCTGTTGAAAAGCCTATTAACCGTAGCCTCTCTGATAAGCTAAACGCTGCACGTGTTTTACGCCAATGTTTGCCGTGAGAGTACCACGCGAGAGGATACCTGGGACACTCGTTTGTCACTCCGATCTACCTTATCGCGATTCCGAGTGTATTGATATTTATATGCCGATTTTCGTTTCTGTTTTCAACTCGCGGGGAACTGAGAGCGACACGTTCCATGGATGATACGCATACTTACGATGTAGATACTATTTGTATTCGTGCTGAGATTCCCATTAAATTGATCGGGGGTAATGTCACTTTACTGACCAAATATTCAGAGATTTGTTGACACACACACACACACACACACACACACACAACAAGTCTTGTTACTTTTTACCACCACTA